AAAGAAAAGAAAAAGAAACCCACCCAGCACATTAAATGAACAAACACTGCCTAAGCTAAAACCAGAGTCATGGACGACTCGGGTTGTGGCACTCATCTCGCTTTATTGGCCAAGGGAGCCAGCGTACAGCTTCTGGGTCATGTGGCCAGCATGACTAAGCCACTTCTGGCGAACTAGAGCAACGCATGGAAACGCCGTTTACCTTCCCGCCGCAGCGGTACCTATTTATCTACTTGCACTTGACGTGCTTTCGAACTGCTAGGTTGGCAGGAGCTGGGACCGAGCAACGGGAGCTCATAAGTATAAATTAAATTGCATAGAGAACATTTTAAAATAAGATGATTTTAATATTTTGCCTTTTGTGACATTATATTGCATTAAGGTTTGTTCAATTTTTTCTGCATTTTTACAATGTGATACTGTATTCTTTTTTATTTAAAAAAAAGGATGATGGAAGTAATTATATTCTTATGTGGTTTGTGATGTTTCGGTTTGAGGAAATATATTTATTTTTGAAGTAAATGATAAAATGGACAAATCTAGATTGTGTCTGTGATGCACACCAGCTGCTATCATAGAAAACAGAATGAACTCCCACTAACTTAAGTGGGACTTGCAGAAAATGTGCTTAGGGTCAGGCTACATCGGTAGTGCTGTCCTCCCAAGTTATAACCACTGATGTAACATTCCTTGGGAATTGTGAAGAGCTCATTATGGATGTGTGTGAAAAGAGTGGTTTTAAATGGCCTTCAACTGTGGTGGGATGCTGGGTGCTGAAGAGCTGAGTCTTAAGTTAATTTGTTAGAGCAGGGAATGTGAGTAGGAGGGAATTTAATGAAAAAGAGAGAGGAGGAGGTGATTGGAAGGGAATGTTAGCATTTTAGACATCGGAGTAATGGCAGACTTGTATGCAAGGATGAAGGAGAGTGCTTTTCACATTTCTGCTGTCAGGGATATTCTGTTCCTCAAAACTGGAGCTGTCTTCACATACCCTTCACAACTTCCTGCCTCTATTCCTCAACAATAGCAGAAAGGCATATGTGAAGTGTAGGGGGGTGATATTTTAGCAATGTAGATTGCAACACCCGACTACAGAGTGGGAAACAGATAAGAAAAATGAAAGGAGAATGAACAAACTAGGGAACTGACTCTTATGCAATTGACCATATATAAAACCTGCGGACCAAGGTTACACAATATCTAGTTTCCTGAAAATATTACTTGACCACAACATATTCAGTGCCATGCTGGCAGAGAAATAAGTCCAGCCCCACATTACAGACACACCCTGTTAGTGATGATGACCATGAGCGTGTTATAAGTGTTCACAGTACTTTACGGAGAGATAAGCAATATGAGATAGGTCCCTGTTCCTAAAGGCAGGACAGTGTAAAATAGATAGTGGTGAAATAACAGAGGAGAAAGTTGCTTCAAACTGAGTTGCACTACTGGTTCTTCTAGCACAGTATTGTCTACACTGACTGGCAGCAGCTGTCCAAGATTCAAACTTGGAGAGTCTTTCCAAACCCTACCTGGAGAAGGCATGGTACCTGGGTTGTTTTGCATGCACAGCCTGTTCATCTATCACTGAGTGACCCATACACATTTTGCTGCACATGCATATGTAAGCCTTGGTAACAGAAATGAGCATTAAGAAGATAAGCTACAATACATGTTGGGGGTTGTGTTGAGAATGTCTGGGGGCATTGGCACAATAAGCTGGGGAATAATATTTTATTTAGTCATTTCTTTTATAAATCTATCTGATCCTTCATTCTAAACATTTCCAGGCTAGCTAACAATACTGGATAAAACTGAAGCAACCACAAAACCACAAAAGAATAAAACATTCAATGGATTTCTGGCATTAAAACAATATCGTCAAATGTTAAAAGGCCTGGGTAAATAAATAAGTGCTGAAAGGACAATGCAATTCAAAAGCTGTTTAAATCCACGCTTTTTCATTTAAGCTGCTTTTGTCTCATTTAACTCGGGGCGCATTCGTATCTACCCTCTCGCTCAGCTGTAATCCAGCAGAAACAATAGCAGTAAAATACTAAATTTTGGAAGATGGAAAGACACGCCAATGGGGACAAGTGATTTACAACACAGTGAGTTGGTGGTGAGAATACAAAACAGACTTTGTTTACAGCTGACATTGTTGATGCAGTAAACTACTGTTATTTGAGAGGAAAGTTGTCAATGTGCCATTACTGGGTCCTTACCAGTTTGAATGAAACATGAACAGTTTAAGCACCTTGAGGCCCACAGAATGTAGACTACACCCAGAAGCAATGCATGGCATATAGCTGAATGTACAGTGGGAAGCTAAAATGCTGGAGAACCATGTTGGTCTTTCCTAGTATATTTCAGACTTCTATTTTGGATTTTCTGTGAGAACTGGATTACAAAGTTGGAGTAAAAAATTGGTACCTATTGACACCAAGCAATGATTGCACTGGAGAAGGAAGACAGTGACTGTGTGACATAGCATTCCATCTGGGAATACTGCTTTCCCTTGCCACAATTCTTTCTCCTCTCTGTTGATGCAGAATCTATTATGAATGACCTATTTCCTTTCTCTCCATTCAGGCTTACTTCTCAGAGGTCATAAAGCTGCTTATTGCCTATAGGTGAAGGCACATATGGCGGAATGCTCCACCATGTAAAAAATGTCTCCTCACATAGATGCAACGTATTTGCCCCATCTATATATAGCATTGGAGGAAAAACAGCACTAGAAATTATTCATATGAGAATCTTCCAAACACTTCCTCCTATTTGCTTTATAGTAAAACACAACAGAGGAAAAATAATTGCTTCCTGAATACCATGAGAATAATCCTTGTGGAAATTGTTCAGTTTGGTTGTGCATTTTTTCATGTTTCATTTATTGTTCATGATTACTTTTGTTATGTTGTAGTTAAGTACTTTTTCATGTTGCAAGCTGCCTTGAGCATGGTTTGAATTGTGGGAAGGTAGCATACAAATAAAATTATGTATGTATATTGAAAGTGCACAAAATCACAGCAATTATCAGTAATAATGGCAAATCCAAAAGTTTCTATCTTAGCTATTGTTAACAATGATTATAATCTTCAAGTATACGATTATATTGAAATATTGGAGATATCGTTTTAGGCTGCAATCTTAAATACACCTATTTGGAATGAGCACAGTTGTATTTACCTTTGAGTAAACATGCATATGATGGTTATTAGGTAAAGGTAAAGGTACCCCTGCCCGTACGGGCCAGTCGTGTCCGACTCTAGGGTTGTGCGCTCATCTCACTTAAGAGGCCGGGAGCCAGAGCTGTCCGAAGACACTTCCGGGTCACGTGGCCAGCGTGACAAAGCTGCTCTGGCGAGCCAGCACCAGCGCAGCACACGGAAACGCCGTTTACCTTCCCGCTATAAAGCGGTACCTATTTATCTACTTGCACTTAGGAGTGCTTTCGAACTGCTAGGTGGGCAGGAGCTGGGACCGAAAGACGGGAGCTCACCCCGCCGAGGGGATTCAAACCGCCGACCATGCGATCGGCAAGTCCTAGGCACTGAGGTTTTACCCACAGCGCCACCCGCGTCCCCTCATGATGGTTATTACATCGTTATTATTTATTAAATTTATTAGTTGCTTTGTCTAGGCAGGGCAACCCAAAACAACTTACAACCAACTATGCAGTTCACCAAGAAACAATGGCTAGAAAGACACAACTCTGCAGGGAAAAGGTGCATTGAAACAGCGAAAATAACACAACAAAATGCATTGCATGAGGGGGGAAATGGATTGCAAAGTGTGAACATTACCGAAAACACCATTTAATTAGGTATCCCATTTCCAACCATCAAATTTGAGGTATTAAGCCATGAGATCCCAAACAAATGAGGCTTGTGTCTGTATTACTGACTTGGAGCTTGTGGTTTAACCTTGAGGCTATTAATGGTGCAGTACTACACGTGTATCCTCAGAAGTAAATCCGAGGGCAGGTAAAAAACACACCCAGGCATTTATAAAACCTAGCATAAATTGATTTTGGGACATCCTGCCTTTGCACCCTCAGGCTTTGATGTCAAAGCACTCCTGGTCCCAGTGACGTGTCAGGGTTTGCAATATCACTGCAGGAAGGTCTGTCGAGAAGCTTCTTCCATGCAGTTTCCCAGCCCTTCCCGCGAGGCAGCTGCGTCGAAGGCTGTGGCTAGCTTGGACATGCCCACAGCTTAAACTCTGGCATCCCAGGGCTTTTCTTCTTGTGTGTGTGTGTGTGTGCAAAAAAGAACCGGTCTCTCTCCCGCCCCCAAAACCTTTACTATTCCCCGGCTTCCAAGACGTCTCAAGACTTGCGCTCGCGGGCATTTTTCCTATAGTCCTCCTCCTGCTGCCCTTTAGTATTTTATCCGTATATTGATTGCAACGCGCGTCTGTCGGATTTACACGCTTCCTTTAACCAACTGTTGCGGGGGTCGCTTCCATTCGCGCGCCACGGCCCCACACGCCACCTTGAAATCTTTCCGTTTTGAGGATTAAGGTTCAATAAACACATCCCTCTGCCTTCAAAAAAAGTTTCTCTCTCCCTCTCCCCCTGCAACAGGTTTTGACACAGCTTAATCTCGGTCGAGACGCATAATATAATATAATATATAATGTAATAATATAATAACAGACACATGCTTGTGGCGTGTTTCACATGAGCTTTATTTTATTCCTTTTTTTGTTCTGTGGAACAAGCAGCCTGGGCAGAGAAAGGGAACGAGAGAGAGGTGGGGCGTGAGGAGGGCGGAATTCAAATGAATAACCGCAGGCGCCCTTCTCTCCCTCGCGCCCCCTCTTCCCGCCTCTTTTTCTCTTGTCACTCCAAACCCTCCCCTCCCAACGGCGCCGCTCCTTTCCACCTTTTGCCCCGCCTCCCTTCCCCTTCCCCCGGCACGTGACGGGGGCCTCTGACGCCGGGCGGCGCGGTGCCCTGGAGCTGACACTCGGCGCGGAGCTGAGGCCGGGAGGGGGCGGGGCTCCTGGGCAGGCAGGCAGGCGGGCGGGCAGGAGGGAAGAAAGGAGCGAGCGAGGCGAAGCGGAAGGAGGAGGAAGAAGAAGAAGCAACAGCGGCGGGGATACCGCCTTGTAGTCGGAGCGACCTGGACCTCCGGTTTGGGTGAGTGGGCCGTTATTCGGGGGGGGGGGGAGCAGCGTGCTGTGTTGCGCCTGCCAGAAGTGCGTTGAAGTAGGTGCGTGTTTGGGGAGGGGGCGTTGCTGGCTTCACAGGGATTCTTTCTCTCCCCCCCCCACCGTTTTGTTTGCAAGGAAGAACGGTTTCCCTGTTTGTCCCCTCCCTTCCACTGTTGCGCTTCTTGTTTAATTAAGCCGGAGCAACTCTTCTTCTTCCGCCGCCCCTTCCTCCTCCCCTCCCCCGCCTGCGCCCCCTATCAGAAAAGCGCGTTGTAGCCTCCGCCCCACCCCTAGGTGGAGCGTGGAAAGGTGTGTGGAGGGAGGAGGAGGAGGAGGGACGGAGGGGAGCAAGCCCTTTAAGCCACACTTTCGGCTACTCCGGTGGGAAAGCGTGACAGCCGGAGTTTAAAGGGGAGCCGGTGGTGCGTCATGTGCACACGACCGTGTCAAGTCCTAATGCTGATAGACGTGCTGCGTCGGGTTTCCTCCTCGCGACACTCCCCCGCCCGCTCCCCGCTTGACCTTGGGGTGTTTTCATTCTGCGACATGAGCAGGATGGGATGGGGGGATGACTTGTTGGTTCCCTACACAGTAATCACTTGGTAACTCTCGTGTGTATATATATGGGTGGGTTTGTAGGGGCAGGTGGGAGGAATGGCAACCCCACCTCTGTCCGCACTTGGGCCCAGTTTTAATTTGTAGTTCGCTGTGTCTTGACTGGTACAGCCTGATTTTGCAAATATATATGAATTCTAACTTTAAGTGTTTCGTTTACCCTCGGGAGTCAGGGCAGTTTCATGCCTGGAAGCATTCATGTTTGTGCAACTGATACACAGATCGATGCTATCTCTCTGTATTTTGCCTTGTGTCAAGCTGCCTGTGTGGAGAAGAGTCCTAAAGTGGTATATTTTGCTTCTGTAGTAAAATCATAATTTGGTTATAAGTTATTTTGTGTTATGCATACACAATCTAGATGATATTATTATTATTAATAATAACAATAACAATAATAAATATAATAATAAATTTGTCAGGGTTGCCCAGGGCAACCAAAAGTGACTTACAACAGAGTCATACATACAACATACAGCTTGCAGATGTATGTATAGTTGACCAAATAATACAAACACATAGATACATTAAAGGAGAGTACATTGTGTAACTTCACTTCTCCAGTTAGGACAAATTATGAAGGAGGAGGATAGCTTAGTTACCAGCTTGAGCGGAAGTTCTGCATTCTCTCTTCCTTGCCAACTGTCTATACAGGCCTTAAAATGATTTGAGCCTTAGTTAGTATGAGTTAACCACAATGTATCAGTCACAGACTTTTCTAGCTATTTATAGTTTGCAATTGTAGTCAGCACAATAACAAAAGAGTAGAGTAAGAGAGGCAAGTAACTGATATGATGTTATTCCCTCCCCCTTTTAATAAAAAAAAAACTTTGGGGAAATTGGCTTTTTAAAGCTGTTTGGCATGTAAGTACACTATGCATTCAGATTATGAGAAACTGAGTTTGTAATCAAGTTTCAAGAAAGGTACAGTTTGGCTTTTATTTTAAATACCATATTATTGGAGAGCCCATTGTCCTCAAATGTTCCCTAGTGTAGGTGCTCAAGAAGGAGCTGACCTTTTTTTGGTAATTGGTAACTACTGTCCATGGTTACAATCTCTCTCTGTGTTTAAATCTTTAGGCTCATTTTGAAAGTATTTCATATAAAATTGAGTACAAATGAGTCATACCAGCTGTCAAGCAAAATTATTCTGATGAAATTTCAGCGTGTGAAATTGATTTCCCTCAGCAAATGTGAAGAGAATGTTGTTATGAAACTCATGGACTTGGCCTTGCATTGCGTGTTTGCTTTTCTGCCATGGTGACTAGAAATGTTTCTGTTACCCTTTCTCCAGATGACTGTGGTGTACTTTCTTCTTGTCAGAAATTTTGATCTTAAACATCGAGAATAATGCAAGCCTTCACATTCCTCTGATGGACAGAATTCTTGCCTGAAGTGAAACTTATAGGTTGCAGAAAAATTTGCATAAAAGACAAAACTGTTTATGCCAGGGGGTGTGCATTATGTTCTCTCAAGTGATAGGCATCCAGAAATTGTGGGCTTAATGAAAATGTGCTTAAATTAAAGCTTGCTGCTGAGATGCTGACAAGTAACAACATAGGAGAAAACATCAATTGTGCAGAGGACAGTTGGCTGGGTTTTATTTCATCTAGTCTTCAGTTGGTAAGAACCTATGACATGGGGAGCTAAATGTCCTCCAATACGACTTCAATGACTAACTTTGTTTGTATCACAACATCATTAATGTGCTCCTTGCAGCTGTAGGGGATAATGTTTGCCAGCACAATAGTCTGCGGTAAGAACCAAATGACACTGAGAGAGCTTGTTTGTACTTTTGGTTACATAAATAGTAGCATAGTTTTTCCCCATTTTTGTTTGGACCGTGCTATGGTTTTTTGATTCTGAGCTTCAGTTATTACACCGAGTGAAGCAAATTATAATTGGTTTTAAATAGTTTCCAGGATAGGAATTATACACAGATATGTTATGATGATTCTGTTATACTGCTTTCTAACCTTCTAAATGTTTTTGTACTCCTTTTTTGTACAGTTACTGCTGCTTTAAAGTAAGGTTGGGTTCTAGTACTAATTTCAGATCTTGCTCACCCTTTGTTGACTCACATTGGTTTAGTGAAGTGTGTGGGCTTTAATGTCATGCTACTTCACTTTTATTGCCTCCTACATTACATCCACTCTTTGAAAAGTGCAAATTTAGTGTATAATACAGTTTACCGTATCCACTGTTCTAATGCTTACAGCACACCTACTCAGAACTGATCCCCTTTGACTGCATTGGCACAGTGTTTATGAGCTGGTTGCAAGTTGTTGTGTTGTGTTTTGTTTTTAAAAAAGCAAAACATGATTAACATTAACTATGGGGTTTTTTTATTTGGACAAAACAAAAGTGAAGCAAACTCCTGACAGTGGGAGTGGTGGGGACTTGAGCTCAAGGCTTGCTTGTAGTTTGTTGTTGCTCAAGCACACATCAAACAGTGGTTTAACAAAAGGAGGAACCAATGTGGTGTGCTACAGATGCTTCAGAGTATAACTCTCATCATCCCTAACTGTTGGCTATACTGGCTGAGGCTGATGGGAACTGAACTACTTTTAGCAGCCTCAGCTGGTATTGCCAACAGTATGGATGTTTAGAGTTGTGGTTTAAAATATCTGTAGGGCACCACATTAACTACCCCTGGTTTAGCTTGATATACAAATGCAGCCATTAAGTTTGGATTGAAGCCTTAGTATTCTCATAATGCTAATGATGGATGCCGCTTCATTTTTATTCTACCCCCTCACAAGTCTGGTTGTCTTTATCAACCATTGGCTATAGCAGGTGATGCTCATTTAAGTGCTTAAAAAGGGGGGGGGATGAGGCTTTTGAGAAATGGCATTTGAGAGATGGATTTTGTGAAATTAGAGCTGCTGCTCAACATTTGAACAGAATACAAATTTAAAAAACACTTCGGTTGGTTATTCCAGCATAAATAATTATTTGAGCTAGTTAGGTAGACGGATTTTATTCCCCAGTTGTAGTACTTCTATCTCTTGTGATGATTTATATAGGAAATTAAAGTGACAGGAAGAAATAATTTATAGAAGCAAAAAGTGGATAAAACACTAATTATTGGTGGCAGTATTCTATAAAGTTACAGTCTTTCTCTTGTAGTTTTAATAGGGCACATATGTTTTATTTCTGGAGCTGACTTTTCTATTCCCTCTTCATTTACAAATTTTGGCCTCAGTCCAACAAGATCCTTAAGATGCACTGCGCTGGAGCTGAAGAATTTCCCTTACTCCTCATGTATTTTCTTTCATTTGTTCTACATTACAATTGGCTTCTTAAACATGAAGATATTTTTAAGAAAACGTAAAGCGACTTATAGTTGCAAAAAGTTTTAAACAGTTGCATAGGTCTATTAGCATTAAAAGGTCTTCAAGAGACACCTGACACTGCCTGCGAAATCTCTGCTGGAAAGAGTGTTCCATCAAAGGATGGTTTGTGCCACAAACTAGGCCCAAATGCAAGACCTGTGCTCCTTCACACTCCCTCCCTTATAGTCGCTTTTAGCTGTTTGTCTCTTTTTCCATCTTTTTAAGTATGTGTGATATAATCAGCTTTTAATTACTAGTTTTTACTTCTTACCTGTTTTAAGTCTTATGTGTTCTGTTTATCCGTATGTTTTATCTTATGCTGGTCAGTGACCGAACTAAAGTTTGATACTGATACTCATGCTGAGTGTTCCATAGCACGAGACTGAGAACATTAAATAGCAAACTTCTAGTTGAGGCCAGTTGGGCCTCTAACATGGATGGTTAAGCTGGGATATAAGGGCCCAGGTGGTCCTTAATAAGATATGCAGATTTTTTTTTTTTTTTTAGGTACCCCTGCCCGTACGGGCCAGTCTTGACAGACTCTAGGGTTGTGCGCCCATCTCACTCAAGAGGCCGGGGGCCAGCGCTGTCTGGAGACACTTCCGGGTCACGTGGCCAGCGTGACAACGCTGCTCTGGCGAGCCAGAGCCGCACACGGAAACGCTGTTTACCTTCCCGCTAGTAAGCGGTCCCTATTTATCTACTTGCATCCGGGAGTGCTTTCGAACTGCTAGGTTGGCAGGCGCTGGGACCGAACAACGGGAGCACACCCCGCTGCGGGGATTCGAACCGCCGACCTTTCGATCGGCAAGCCCTAGGCGCTGAGGCTTTTACCCACAGCGCCACCCGCTCCCTTAAGATATGCAGATACCCACATTCAAATGTACATCTCCATTCTGGGAACAACAAACCCTGTGTGTCTAGAGCTGACTTGATGCGGTTCCCTTCTGTAAGCATGCAGAAAACCTTTGTCTACTTCTAATGGTGTTATTTTTGAACTAAGAACTATGGGTACATAAATGACCTAGAAAGGATACTTTGGCTTGCACGCTCCCTTTCCTCACCTTGCATGTTGGAATTACTTCCTGGTTTGTGGCAAACCATAGTTGTTTGTTCCATCAGACTGTGGTTGTGTTTGCCATGCAAACCAAGTCTGGAAGCTAGGGTGACACTTTGGTTTGCAATCTTGATTTTCAGGAGGGCAAGTGCAAGCCATATCTTGCCAGTTCAGATGACAGTACTAACTGGTTTATTTTAAACTGGGGAGGAAATGAATTACAGTGCATGAGAAGGATAGGGAGTCTGTGAGCCCAAGTGTTCTTACAATCTCATTTGCGTATAGTCAAACCATCTTTTGGAATTCAGTTGAAATAATTTTCTTCATTGTGAATTATCAGTGTCTGTTGCCTAATCAAGGATTAATCTTTGTTATTTTGTTCGAACAGAAACAACCCCCTTTAGATGTTAAATGTATAAGCTGGGGTTTTTTCCCTATCCCACTTTAAGAGGAAAGAAACCCTACACTAAAATAAATATATGTAACAGCTGAAATATCTGCAGTGTGACCTTGGCAAAGCTGTTTGATTAAAATGTGGGAAGCATGCTTAAAGAGTATACATTCTTATTAACAGTATCCTGACCTTTATGGTTCATAAGATTAGGTAACAGAACTTGAAGGGAACACTTTCCAAGATGTTTGGTAATGATTTGTGATTTATTAATTTGATGGCACTACAGAACTCAGGAGAAGTAATACTAAAGGGATATCTGAGCAGAATATGGGAGCCAAATTAAGCGAAACCAGTCTTTTATTCCCCACAAGGTTTAATAATACCTGAACTAAATAAATCCTCTACGTAATCATAGGATTGTCTTGAACTAAAAAAAGACCTGATCCATTTTGCTAAGTAACTGAAACAATAGGCTTAGTAACAGGCAAAGAGCAAGAGCCGAACAGATATGAGGGTCCAGAAGAAGTTATTAATGTTTAACATACTATCTTACACCTATGCAACTTGCGGGCAAAAACCCCCTCTTGTATACCACTTTAGCAGAATATTAATTTCATGGAATAAGAGTGCAGTAATTCTCAAAAGCGTAATGTAGTAATGGGAACCTAGTAGCTCAAGAAAAATTGGTAAGTGGGTGTGATATTTCTGAAAATGGAAATTGTTATATTTTATTTATTCCACTTTTCAGGATACAAATCCTCTTGCAAATACAATCAGAATACATTAATAGAATTACAGTACGGGCAACTTCCCATTTGTGCGGGGTTGCATTTTGGGTCATTGCGCACATCAGCGGTCTCATGTAAGCCTGCCCCGTTCCACCCTCTTCTGGGGCTGAAAATGATGTGTGTGTCAGTGGTTGTGCATCAATTGAACATGCACAAAATGGTTGCAACCTGTGAACAACATCAAAGCACACCTAGTCATCAGGATGGTCCCACTTAAAGTTGTAGTTAACATTTTTCATATGGTTATGCCTAGAAAGCACTTATATTTATGTACACTGCTATTCATCCATGATCAGAGTTTTCAGTACCCTGAATTTTTCTTAAAATGAATCCTAGGTTAATGTGTTGTCATGCGCTAAAATATGGCATTTTATTGAATTCCCTCAATCCAATATTTCAGTATTTCAGAATATTTCAATTCTGACAATTTGGAAAAACTTTTCAGATATTTACAGTATACTGCATGTGAAACTTAAAAAACAACAGCTTTTGTTTGCCTAAATGTAAGCCAATTAGGGAAGGGGAAACATTTCAGAAAAGTTTCTGGGGAAATTTCCAGTTATGGCTCTGAGAGAAAAAACTTTGCGAAAGATTTGGTTAGCCAGTTCATCCCAAATATGAGACTAGTCAATAAACAGTATGCAGCTGAAACTCCTTTGTGGTAATAACATTTTTTTTCCCTTACAGGGGGAAAGAAAGACCATAATGTGGCTTACCTTTCACGTAGAAAGGTGAATACAGTTTCTTCCAAGAGATGGCTGACAAGAGTGGAAAGATTCTTTCAGGTCCATTATACATCGAAGTTGAATATGACTATGAATACGAAGCAAAAGACAAAAGGATTGTGATTAAACAAGGGGAGAGATACATTTTAGTGAAAAAGACGAATGATGACTGGTGGCAAGTTAAGAGGGATGAAAACTCAAAGCCATTCTATGTGCCAGCACAGTATGTGAAAGAAGTAACTCGCAAAGCACTAATGCCACCTATCAAGCAATTGGGTGGGCTGCCAAACAGCTCTTTAAAACTTATGCATGGGTTACAGAGGTCAACAGAAAATGTCAATAAGTCTCCGGAGCTTTCTAGTTTTGGGAAATCTTCTCCAGTTCAAGTGTCTAGCATAGTTCGGGATGCCAATCAGAATTTGGGACCAAACGTTAGCCCAGGTCAGAATTTTGGCCTGAGCTTGGACCTTTCCCAGAATAATGGGAAATTGAATGAATTTCAGTTCCCTAAAGTTTCCAATCAGAACAGAACATTCTCTGTGTCCCATTTTTCTTGTTCTGAATGTGTGGAGATAGAAAAGACCAGCTTTTCGCAAGAACAGTCCTGTGATTCTGCAGGAGAAGGCTCAGAGAAAATCCACCAGGATTCAGAATCTGGAGATGAACTCAGTAGCAGTTCCACAGAACAAGTACAGGTAAGATGAGATGCATCACAGTCAAATTTGAACTATTTTGTGTCTTAAAAAAAGGTATGAAGTAACAATTTATCAAGAAGCTTGTTTATGTACACAAACTTTTTATACTAAATGTATAAGAACTAAGCTCACTCAGCTACTGTGTGTTAGAATAGTGAGAGCATACTTAATATTTCTCTGGTGACACCCACCTGGTGGTTTCTTTTTGTGCAGTTATCCATTGATTTGCCATTTTTCAGAAATTAACCCTTCTTTGAAGGGTTCATTAAGCATGAGAAGGATGATTGAAAGGATTGGATCAGTTTAGCCTGTTATGGTCAACATATGTATCCTCTTGCAGAAGTTCTTATTAAATTGATAGAAAATTCAAATGGCCAATAGAGTGGAAAGCTTTTCATATTCTGTAGTGTATCTGGGTGATTAGTGCTTGACACTGGGTTAGACATGCTATTTTTATTCACAGAGGTTGTGGTAGTTCTTATCAGCTTATTTTTAGGAGTCCCTGAGCTGTACCACAACAACTGTAGTACAGATGCATTCAATGGATGCTAGCTGTTTCATGTCATCCTTGTTATTTTTTGATGTAGCAGCCATCAGTGATGATTGATACTCCTTGAGTTGATAATTACCTACGAGGGTTTAGATAAATTGATGTGCCCTGAACAGTGAACATAATCTTCATAGCACTTATTATGTTATTAATCCAAATTAGCTGACAACCATCACATGTACCACTTTCACATTTTTTTAAAAAAGTATTTATTTATTACTCACCCTTCACCCTAGGGTCCCAGAGCTGGTTACAACATTAAAAACACAATATTAATACAACTTAAAACCTCAAAAATAAGGGGTGTTCTCAAAATGTACCCCTTCAAAAGCTAGGGTAAAGAGATTAATCTTCAACATTGTGTAAACTTCATCTGTGTAATGAAGTTGAAAGATGTGCCTTTGTGGGGCGGCAGTTTCACAGCTTAGGGATGCCACAGAGAATGCAGTCTCCCAGCCTTCCACCCCCTGAACTTCCAAGGGTGGAGAAAGAACCAATAAGGCTCCCTCTTCCCATCTCAACACTCTAGGGGGTCTGTAGAGAAGGAGGTTGTGTTTTGGTTAGTTGGGGCCTGAGTCATTTAAGACTTTAAATCAGGGGTCAGCAAACTTTTTCAGGAGGGGGCTGGTCCACTGTTCCTCAGACCTTGTGGGGGGCCAGACCCACCCTCTCCCGAAAGGACCCCCCTTGCCGCCACTCACTGAACAGCCGCTGACGCTGCCTCGTCTTCTGCAGCATCGTCGCCGTCCTCAGCCTCGGCCAGGGGTCTGCGGGGTGCAGAGCCCATGGCGCTGGCCTGGGCAGTGGAGGCAGCCTCCCCGCCACTGCCGCTTCCTCCCGCTCAGCTCTTGGCCATATGCGGCTGCCTCAGTGGGAAGGAAGGGGCGTCGCCCAGAGGCATCCGCGGCTATGGATTGGCTGCAGAAGCTTCCTGTAGCCAATCCGAAGCCAGTGTCGCCGCCCGCCCAGAGGCGTCCATGGCTTTGGATTGGCTGCAGGAGTTTTGTGCAGCCAATCCAAAGTCATGTCAGTGTTGCGGAAGTCAGTCCCCGCGTGGCTAGGCCTCCGCACCGTGCTGGTTTAGCGCGGGGACTGACCAAGCAGGCAGCACGGTCCATGGGCCAGATTTACGAGCCCGGTGGGCCACATCCAGCCCCTGGGCTGTAGTTTGCCGACCCCCGCTTTAAACACTAATGAGAGCACGTTGACTTGGGCCCAGAAACAAACTGGCAATGAGTGTAGCTATTTTAAAACGTCGAAACCCCAGACAGATTGAAGTTTCTGAATCACCTTCAAGGAAATCCCCACATAGAGTGCATTAAAGCAATCCATTCTGGAAGTTACCAAAGCATGGAACATAGTGACCAAGTTATCTCTGTCCAAATGGGGTTGTAGCTGGTGAACCAGCTGGAGCTGAGAAAAGGCACTCCTAGTCACTGAAGGAGCCTGAGAATCCAGTGACAGTGTTGAATCCAGGAACATCCCCAATTGCTCTTATCAGCATTTTTTATTTGGCTGATGTTGACTTTGACTTTGGCTGATGTTGGTATTTCCAAATAGAAGCACTAGGGAAACTGTATTGAACAAATTTGATGAAACTTATAATCAGAATGCAGGAGTTATACAGATGTCCTGTATGAAAACCACCAGCTCCCTGTGGACTGACCCAATGCAATTCAAGAAGACCTGTTATATGCAATACAGTATGTAACAAATGAACAGTGCAAACAGGTCAAACAAAGTATGGCAAGCAGTTCTTCTTGAACAACACTCACTTGTAGAGCCAGTTTGCAGTCTGGATAAGGCTCTTGGACCTAATTTTAGTACTGGGTACTCAGGTGTCAGCTATATATCCATGCTGCTTGGGGGTGGGGAAGCATCTAGCCTCAGAATGCTCTCTCTCATTCTCACTAGGCAAGAAACAGATCTGTCACAGTCTTAGACAACGGTCTTAGAAATTTGAAACTGTAACATTACAAAATGGGTGTAATATTTTATCTAGGTATGATGCCCACAAGCTATGTTACTTTCAACATAGCTATGAGTGGTGAAAAGCTGTCATAGCAATTAGACATCAACATTATTTTAATAAGCAAGAAAGACACCCTATAGCCTGGTTCTTTGCCCTGCAGAATGTAGTAAACTATAAATATTGTAATAATGTGATTATTCAGTTTGTAACTTCAGCAAAGTACATTAAAATTATGATTGGGAGAGTTTAGGTTCAGGAAATCAAATTACACCAAAACTGGACTGAACTTCATCCCTGAGGAAAACCAGAACCATTAAATGAAAGTCTGTTGGAACTGAAAATGGAAAGAAAAATTCAGGCTAGTAGATCAGAATAAGAACAAGCAAACTTGTTTCCTCTAGATCAAGCAGATCTAGAGATTTAAATGCCTGCTAGATTTTACTGAACTACCCTCCTGCTTTTTTTAAATCTTTCAATAGTGACCATTGTTGGGCAGAAATCAGCTGGGTAGAAATTAAGGTCTTTGCAAGCTGTTCTTATGACTGTTTGTTGCCAGAACATGAAGTTCCAGGCTGCGTATGGTTACCTTGAAAACAAGTGTTAAGCTAAGTGAGTGTTAGCACTATACAGTGAATGTGAGATGTCAATTGTCTTTATGCCAGTTTATGTGGAGGCCGAAGAGCGTTCTTTCTTCATTGGATCCTACTTTTAACAGGGTTTGCTGTCTGTGTCTTGCACATTTTAAAGTCTGTATAATTGCATTTTAGAAAATAAAAGAAGTTTGTGTTTGTTGTGCACAAGAGAGTCTGTGCAACAGCTCATTGTGGGTTGTAGGAATGCATTCCAGTTTTCTTTGTTTGAACCTATGAGAAGCCTCCTATCAGTTTTACGGGGGGGAGGGGATGGGATTGAATTTTCATTAAATAGGTTGTGCAGCAGGGCATATACATGCCTTCTGTTCCCAATTTTGCGTGATCTGTGTTAGATTCTCACTGTAAACGTAGAATACCCAATGGCACAAGCATACACAAGCTTCAATTTAAAAAGTGATACTAGATTCAGTGTTTTAAAAAAATGACTATGTTTCCTTTCTCCTCTTTTGGTGAATGGTAACACCACAGGATGTATTCTCATTTCACTCTGTTATGTGACCTTATGTTCCAATGGAACTGCCTTTATTGTGACTGTCAGCAGCTATCTGTATTTCTGTGGGAAGGATGTGTATGGCCTGCCTCTGCTTACTTGCTGTTGTGACTGGTGGGATTGATTGCAACAGCCTTGTTTTCTGATTGTGGGCACAGTTGCTTTCTTTTGGTCTCAGTTCCACAGCTGCATAGGGGATCCCTAATAAACACTATGCATTTTGAAGACTTTTCTGCCACACAGACTCATCTGAACTTTGGCAAGATTATTTTCTTCATCAGTGCCCTATCTTCATATAGGAATTAAAAGTGACCAATGCTTGCTGGTGTTTTGAAAGCAAGAATTTTGCTGATTGTTGTTAATTGTCAAATTATTAAATAATCTAAATCTAGTTTGCATAACCATGAATTCATGTAACATGTACATTGAAGCAAGCAGTACTTAATTTGGGGAAGGAAGAGAGTATGAGGTGACCGTTAGGCAGCTCCTTATTTGAATATACAGTATATATAATCAATGTTAAATCTCTGTAGGACAAATTTTGGTTTATCTGGCCTGTTGTTGTGGATAGGACTCTCACAATAATGCAGTCAGCTTCCTGCCTTCTTGCCTCACGCCTATCATGTTTGGTGAAAGCCAGTTGGGGGAAGGGTGTTGATTAGATAGGTCCAGGATGTGGTGAATGTGTCTTTACACAACAGAGTGGTGCATTCTGCTCTTAAACAGGTGTGAAAGTGTGTTCACTCCTGAAGAAGCCCACCCTGAATCCTATGGTTTATAACAACTACTGCCTGGTTGCAAATACCCCATTTTTGGGTAAGGGGATAGAGAGAGTGGTGGTTGTGCAGTTGCAGGAGTTCATGGAGAATGCAGATTATCTAGATCCATATCAGTCTGGGTTAAGGCGCAGTTTGGGACTGTCCTGATGAATGAACTATATTAAGAACTACATAACTTTTAAAAGACATCTGAAGGCAGCCTTGTATCAGGAAGTTTTTAATGTTTGATGCTTTATTATGTTTTATATATTCTGTAAGCCACCCAGAATGGCTGGGGAAACTGAGCCAGATGGGCGAGGTATAAATAATAACATTATTATTATTATTATTATTATTATTATTAAGAGTGGGACGGGGGTGTGGGACTGTGCTTCTTTTTCTTGATCTCTCTGTGTACAATCTTATCTCTAGTGCTGTTTAATACTTGTATGCAGCCTCTGGATGTGGTCATTCAAAGTTTTTTTGGGGGGAAAGGGTCATCAGTATGCTGATGGCACACAGTTCTACTTCTCTACAACATCAGCGGCAGGAGAGGATGTGCATGATCTGAACCATT